GAGAGAGAGAGAGAGAGAGAGAGAGAGATAGATAGATAGATAGAGAGGGGGGGGGGGAATTTGACAAAATTGTTGAGCTACAAGCGAATATATATAATATAGGAAAATATATAAGATAATTTACGTTATCTGGATGAATCGTTGCTCGTACACCAAGCTTCGTTAAACCGGCTGTTGCCAAAAGATCCAACAATTTGACCAACGCCACGCACGTCGCTTTCGCTATACTTCCAGATAATTTACTTACATCCACAGGATCACTCACACCGTTTGAATGATCATCTGACTTTTGAATACAATTTAATTAATTAACTGACCTATGTAGAAAACAGCATGCTGTTTCTATATAGATCTGATACATACTTTTATAAGGAATACTTCTGTCCAGCGTATAAATCGGGTTATACCTTTGTAATCGGTGCCGTTATGTACTCTGATAGATGGTATACCATCCATCAGTTGTCCATCAATGGGACTTTTGACTCTAGAAAGAAAATGTTTTTTATTATCAAATGATATATACGAGGATGAAATATAAAGTTACATAACAGATATACTAGATTTGCTCTAATTGAATCTATCGAGATATCTTATAAAACGATATGTATAGATACGTAAGATATCGATAAAAAAACTCACCCTAGATTGAAAAGTGTGTCATTATCGACCCATTTAATATTTACAGTTTCGTCCGGTTCTGATGCTCCCTGTCGTCCGCAACCGATTGAGAAATCCTGCATATTTTTTAGAGCAGCCTTTAAAGCTTCCATTTTTTCTGGCATTATTTCTACCATTAAACCATCCTCCACAATACTAGATTTAGCAGATAGACCCATAGATGATTTCAGTGCACCATTGATGACAATAAAACTGGCACCGGTCACTATAAAATAGACAAATATATAGAGAATTTTATGTATCAGTACTGTTTTAATAAAGAGAAGACACGTGTTCATTTCTTTTAACGCACACGAATATATATATATATATATATATATATATATATATATATATATATATATATATAAATTAAAATAAATATTAGAGATAAAATATCCGTCCAGACTCACCTGTTCTCGGCTTATTGTGAATGTTTATCGCTTGTGTTTGATAATTACTTTCATCTCCGGTGTTTGTTTGTATGCAAACCAAATGCGAGTCCGCGGATATACTGAAGTTCGAAGCGTAAGCTAAAACATGATCGTTCGAATTGTGAAGCCCTTTTATAACTTGATCGTATCGATTCCTGGGAAACATGACGTCCGTCGTACGATTCTTGAGATGGATTGTCAAGCCTTTAACTCCAGGCAAAGTATATCCAAAGTTTCTAAAATCTGCTAACACTTTCATTACGGTGTGTCCTATCTCAAAATACAAGGCGTCTCGGAAACGAACCGACACCAGTGGGCAGGGATAATAACGATATTCCGCACCGAGACGTAAAAGAAGCCTCAACGGAAACACCTTGGCCCATGGAGTTTCCCATCTAATAAGCAGTAAAAAAACTGTTAGATAAAATATAATAAATAAAAAGATATAACTTTGACGAAGCGAGGACCGATAATATAGATTGGAGACAATACAAATTTTGATTATATTTTAATTAACGATATATTTACCTGTGAACTAAAAGTCCGACTAGGAAAGGTGCTGGAGGTAAGATGATTTTTTGCAAGCACTGTAACGTTTGGCGAATAAAAAGAAAACCCGTATGTTCGCGCGAACCCAATAAGTTACCACCTTGAAACACCGAGAATCCGAGCTCTGTCATCGTGTTACCTGCGGTCAAATCCGATAGAAATTATTCGTCGCATTACAATAGATACCGCCGTTATTGAAACACCAATAATGATGATAGGCATTACCTTTAATAGCTTCGAGATACAATTGATTGATATAAATGAGTAGATCTTTTGGAATTCGCGTTTCATCCGGCAAAGTTTCAACTAACAATATAACTTCATCCTGGCCGACGCAGGCGAGCCCTCTCGACGTTACGTTCCAACAGACTTTATTTACGCAACAGTTCACTGAAAAAAAGTCCACGAAATGAGAATGTAACTTCCCGTACGAGCCGTCAAACGTTACGTAGTACATTGTAATTTGTATCATATATACTTACGATTGGTGATCTTCACATATGCGTAGAGATTCCGATTAATCGCGAACATTACTGGTGGCTCGCATTCATTTTTCAGCGTCTTGTAGAGTACATTCTCATCTGTAGGTGGATGATACGTGATTTCTGTTTATACAAAGAAAGAAAATGATATGAGTGTTGAGATACTTTTCTTTCATATAACATTTTTAGACAATTTTTTTATGATATGAGAATATCTCCTTACGGCCTTTGTGTATAGTGACGACCCGTGGTAATAAATTAGGATCGTGCGGTATATAGCTGTTGGTCGTATTATCTAAAGGAGGATGACTCTGTCTCCTCGTTGTAACGTCGGTTGATGTAGATGCCGACGCGAAGATCCGCTTGTTCCCTTGTTTACGGTACGGTGGCTTCAGATCCCAACACGTGTCTAGCTCTGTCAGGTCACAGCCAGGCCTTATTCCTGTGTTTTAGTTATAGGTGCGTAAAAATAAAACAAACCAGGAAAGGTTCGAGGGGACTGACAACGTGGTAACACGTTCCAGAGTGGTGGAAAATAAGTGACAAATAATACTGCATCGGATGAAGGAATAACGAGAACAGAAATAACTCAAAAATATAATGTAGTAGGAAAAATGACACATGGGTAATATAGGATAATTGTTATGTACACATACGTAGTCGTTTTCTCGTTATTTTGAATATCAAACAATGGAAAAAAGATATATGTAAGAAACTTTAAAAGAGATTTATAGTTATTTTGGAAGCAATACACGCATATAACACATTAGTGCAACAGATAAAGAGAGAAAATGCTCGACAGCATAAATAATATTTACCTACCATCACTAAACATTACAGATTTCTGCCCTTCTGTACGATGTTTGGAGCCCTCTCTCTTAAGAACACCTACAGGTACCATCACTGTTGGTGGTGGTGGCAAACCGCCAGCTAACTGTTGCAAGGGTGGTATAGTTGAACAGTACTCCATGGGATTATTTGGATTAGGCTGTCTCCCCTATAACCATTTGTCGAATACTTCTAACATCGACGTTCATTCAATTGTCCAGCAAACACATTTCATATTCGGATAGAAAAATATGGTCACTATTGTGCAGTAAAGTTGATAAAAACAAAATTATCGTTCCGACACAATGAAGAGTGACTAGCAGACTCAATGTCTGTTAATTTGGATATTTTTATTATATAAAAATAGATGAGAGATAGAGATAAAGATAAAAAGAGAGATAAGGAATCTAAAGTAAAAAAGTTACTTTAGAATATTGGAATTATTCTGCACATTGCAGAACAATTTATCAACAAATAAAATTTCAAGTAAAAGGTTTATTCTTTGCTTTAATAAACTATATGTGTTTGCTGAACTCTAACTATATTCGCAATATAAAGCAGACTATATTTTATTGCATAGTAGCTCTACTAAACCATGCTTTATCGTTATACTGACATGCATACTCTACTGGAAAACAAATTATATACCGCAAAGCTCAAGAAGAGCCATTTAACAATTGTACATGCTATAATTTAATTTAATAATACACGAAATACGTCAAATACATTGGAAATTCGGTAATTCATAAAGGTGCTTACAAAATATAATCATTGAGAACTTGTATCTCAGAAATTTTAGCACCTTAATTTAAAGTTAAAATTTTTCTGCTATTTATAAAAAAATATTAAGTATTTATTAACAATAATAATAATAACAATTTTGGTAATATTTGATGAATTTTGCGATCACCAGTTGAATATTGATATATAAGCAATTTCATATTTTTTGAAATTACATATTTTTACTTATATAAAATTTAAAAAGCTTAACAATGTGGGGATAAATTTAAAAACGCACTTAATTTAAATATATATCTGAAACTTTTAATTTAGAACGATATAATATTAATCTGCTTGTGTGTTAATGATTCCTTATTTAAACATTTAAACATTGTAACTTAATCTGCTTTTTATGTACACAAATTGTCTGCACAAACAAAGCATAAAAATTAAACAGAAGTATTCAACAAGTTGTTATAGGTAATCGACTAGACACTTACATTAATGTTTGTATAATGCTTATAAGAAGTTAATATCAATATGATTTATCATTGAATAAAATTCTAAAAGTGATTTGTTAATGAGTTTAAACAGTCGGTTTCTTTTCTTAAAACTCGTTAACAAACGGGCACTTCACAGAATGGCGTTCAATGCCCTACAGCTACAGTTTTGCGCTACAAATATCAATGAAAAAAATCAATTCAAACTGTAAATTGCGATTAATATACCTGTGGGGAGTTGATGTCACTACAACCAGCATATGAACTATAGCTAGTTGACCAATCGCCCATCCCTTGTTCACTCTCCGCTAAAAGTACAAATATATAATGTAAATTATATTGCTTTTATACCATATAGTAATACCGAAAAAAGATATTATTACGAAATAAATCTTTTACTGACGAGATTATTTCTAGTTACCTTTCGTGAGTGCATGATGACACAGAACACAAACGCGGGAATCGATGTTGCCTTGATATTCTAATCTATATTTCATATTGCAACATTTGTGGCACAACACCTGCGAAATATATCGTAAATTTAAATACTTAAATATTCGATTGGCATAATCAACGAACAGATATCAGTATGGTGCAGCAAATTAGTAAAGAAAAGCTAGTTAGTAAAATAATGAATGATGATAATAAATGTAATAATATACAATACACATAATAATGTATATTAATACATAAAATTCATTGCATTTTACTAATTAATCCATACACTAATCGCGACAAGACACATGAGAAACTGAATTTTATCTTCTGTTTTCACATACCTTACCACAAGCACGGCAATGATGACGTCTTTTAAGTACCGTAAATCTAACATCGCATAACATACAGCAGGGAGCATCGCTATCGGGGACCCAAAACGGAGGTTGTTTTCCCAGAACTATGCTGCACTCCATTAAAGAATTGTCAGAAACATCTGATGAAGCACCCCGATCCTCGTCCGTAGGACCTCCGGTTTCTGAATGTTCTGTTTCTCCTGGTGTGGCACCCGAAGATTCTGATATAATAAATTTTTATTTAATATCAATGTATTTTGTTTACATTAAGGAGATACTGAAACTGAAAACTTTATTGACAGATCACTGACATTTTTCTGCAAAGTTTACGTCGTATTGATTGTATAGAATTATAAATGCTTTTAAGCAATACATATGTTATTGAGCACATATTGAGCAATGCTCTTATTTATTTTTGCATGTACTTTCATTGCGTAAAAGCATTTATAATTCATTACAAACAATACGACGTAAACTTTGCAAAAAAAATGTCAGTATTCTGTTGGTAAAGTTTTCAGCTTCAGCATCCCTTTAAAACTACACGTGCAATCTTCATAATTTATAGAGTCTAACAATAGTATCTAACGATAGCGTGCAATTATTCGCCGATTTTCTTGAATTAATAACTAAAAATCTATGCGGTTATTTGTAAAATAATAAAGGACTTTTTTATTAATTCGACTTAATGTACACTAGGATTTATAAATGCCTTTACACTTCTGATATCTGGAGAATTGGATTTTTTCGATCTGACGTATTGTTTCTCAATAAGTATGAATCGTGACTGTTGATTACTGAAAGAACCGGCTAACTACTAACAGTCATAATTGACGCTTATTAAGAAATGATGCGCCAGATCGAAAAAGTTCAATTCTCTAGATACCGGAAGTATAAAAGTATTAATTAATCCTAGTGTACATCGATCATCGCTATCATAGCTCATCTACCGTATTGCGCGTATGATCATTTATCAGTTTTCTTTAATTAATAACTCATGATTTTACGTGGTTGTTTGTAAAATGAGAGGAATTTTTTGTTCAGTTTGACCTAATCTACACGAGAATTTTATATGTTATCGTCAGACACTTTGTATGTTTAAGCAACCTACCAAGTGTATAAGAGTCATCTTTGTTATGCGTTGAAACGATATCCAATGTCTGAGGACGTGTGGGTTTTTCAGCTTCTTGACTGTTCTCGTCTGTATCAGAAGCTATACAAGCGTCAGTGACGTTAGCTACACCTTCGGCCTTAAAAGTCTTACCGCTATTATGCATTTCATTATCATGCATTATAAGAACATTTCCTTTGTCGCTCTCGATAATACCGCAGTCTTTGTCATCGTGGATCTCTTTGCTTTCCGGCTCTCTATTCTTAACAGCATCATCGCTGTTATCTTGTGATTGTGTATCAATATCAATATTCTGTTGTAACTTCTGCATCATGTTTACACTGTGACTGCTCTGTTCACCTGCATTTTCTGGTTTCGACGGGACTTTGTTCTCCTCAACGACTGCACTCAGCACAGTCTCTGAGGTATTCTCTCGTGTCTCCATATGTTGACCAGCTGTCTTAGTTATGTCGTTATCTTTGACCGTTTTATCTAGCTCATTATCTTGTGTATCTCTCGACTGATCATATTTTTCACCTGAAGCAACTTTCACAGTATCATTGAGCTCCTGTGAATCTTTCTTTCCTGCAGAAACATCCATTGTGTTCTTGTTACACACACCTGTGTTATAGTCGATCGCAGGAAACTTTTTTGCTTCCTTCTCCTGAAACTCCTCTCCTGATACCTTTGGAAGTTCACCAGTCATAATTTTTTCGAATATAGGTGTCTCCTTGATGTCTTCATTGTCCCGTTGATGTTGACTTACAATCTTTGCAGTACCATCACTTGACTCATTGTATAGTTTTATTGACGAAGTATCCGCGCATAATATTGCTTTTTCCTTTTGCCTTTCTTCTTCCTCCAACTCCGATAAATATCGATTTAGCTCCTCTTCGGAAAAATCGTCGCTGATATTAATCGTCATCATGATGGACGAAGTATTATTAGTCGCTTTTATATTCTCATTTTCTGTTTTGTTCACTATATTCGTATCCAACTTCGTCGTAATACTTTCTACTGAGCTTTCCTTGTTTTTACCAAATGTGCATTTATCAATAAGATCTTGTCTGTCTGTGTCTAATTGCTTTTGTTTGCCAGAAACACTCTCAGAAACCTTGTCAAATCTGTTGACATTAATTGCAAACTGTTCATTAACACCTATTTTATTACTAGATAGCTCTGTATCTGCAATCACATTATCACACTCGTATCTTGAATTGGTTGTATTCACTGTTTCAGAAATTACATTGCTATTACTATTTTTTTCACACTGCATGGAAGCAGAATGCAATATAACATTTTGTACAGAATTATCTTGTTTATTAATAGTTTCCATTCCGACTAATTTATCTACTTCCACTGGTAAAACATTTTTATAATCCAAAGTATTTGTACCAGTTATATCTACAAATCCTTTTGTTTTAGAAGTTGAACACTCAATCATTACACTTCTACTTGGTCTAAGATCTTTCTCTTCTATGTTATCTATGGATGTTTTGGGCAGATCGTCTGTTTCATCTAATCTTGGTTCAACATAATCCAAGCTCCCAGTAGGAGCATTAATGTATTCGTTTAAACTATTAAATACATTGCTAATACTAGGTTTGATATTCGGTTGATTTAATTTCTTGTCGTATCTGTTGTCGTCCTTTGAATCATTACTTCCATTTTGTTGTTTCTGCAGCAAGTTGTGTGATATGTCATTGTATAATGTTAAATGTGCTTGATCGGAATCATGAGAATGAACACACAATTTCTGTCCAGTCTTCTTATCACCCACATGGTCGTGTGTGTAATAATTATTTATAGAATCTTTACTTTCTGACATTATGTTCCTTTCAGCTAGGGAATATCTACAATCAATATCTATTGATCGTGTGTCCCTGTATTTTTCAAAAGATGACATACTATCAACTGCTTTTTCTTTCTCAGAATTAGCAGCAACATAATTGTATGTTTTTGGATGCACCGTTTCAGTAGCATGCTTGTCCGTATCTGATACATCAATTGTGGAAGTTGCAACTTGTGCTACTTGCTCTGCACAATCTGCAAATGATAACATTTTGTGTTAATATTAAATTGTTATTAACTTTTTGTGGTATGCAAATACTTATCTCTAAGATAATTTCACCCTATGATAATATTATCTCGATATATATATATATATATATATATATATATATATATATATATATATATATATTTACGTTTAACTTGCAAGTATTTAAAGTCTGGAACATCCTGTAGAATGACGTTAAAACTTAATTAGCAAACATGAGACATACATACCTTCGTTGAATTCGAAATCATCGAGGACCTTATCCAAGTCAATTGCGAACTTCTCCATGATGTCACGATACGTCGATCGCGTTTTGGCTGAGCAAATTCACTGAACGATTCTACCCGACTTCCAATAACCACATACGCGAATTCACACATTAACATTAATTGATATTAATGTCCTCCATAATTATATACGATTTGTATTTAAAGAATAATCTCGATATAATAACACATAATCGATAATATTAAGAATCTCAATATCAATACATGATCTGAGATATACTTCGACTGGGAGTTTTAAACAGAAAATAAGTTGTCTCTCATACGCGAGCGCTTGACATTAGATGCATAGATGTAATTCACATTTATTTTGTTAATAATTGTTGAATTTCGCGACGATTCTTGGGGCATGATACTTTATTCGCAAGATTTGACGAGTTTTAGGTCTGAAATTACCTTGGTTATATATCTCGGAGCAATTTTTAAACACTATGATAATTATGTAGCGTATCTCTTTCACATGACGAAACTGTCACTTTACGTGAGAATAGGATAAAATAGGTAGATAAGGAACATCGGTAAGAGGAACGAATAATCTTGCATTCTTTTTGCTCGACCTTGATTTCATATAGGCGGCAGGCAAGTCGCGAGCGTTTATGGCATAGAATATATACTTATTCTATACGTTCGACTACTCAGATAGCAAAATGGAAGCGTCCCGATTGACCACGGTACGATTGGATACAACCAACTGATGCAAAGAATTATTTAGTGAATTACCAGGTCGAACCAATCATTACAATGTGTGTCTAATTGTACCGTGGTCAATCGGGTTCCACTCTAGCAAAATCATGTCTAGTGGACGTCCCTGAAACGTTATTCATCGGACCATGGACGTCCAATGAAACGTCCTATTTAAGGCGAAATAACGTTCTGTTGGCTTTCCAATTGCTTAACCAACTTAACGGGTGGATTTCCAAAAACCTCCCATGCCCGATTATCATGAATTTTGGCAAAAAAAATTCCAAACGATGTTAAATGAATGTCCTTAAATGGATTTCTACTGACGTTTAATGCCAAAAGTCTTTAAATAAATTTACATTCACATTGTTTGTTCACACAGTACATATAAAATATATACCTTAGAATATTTAGAAATATTATGAAAAAAATATATTTTCTAAAGAGTGACAATTTTTCACAAAAGACAGGGCCCGTCCTCCGCCGCGGTGCGGTTAGGCGACAGTTTTCCGAAAAGTGGAGGGGGTAATGTTGGTACCAAGAGAAATCTTTACACCACTTTACACGATATAGTTTAAAGATCTGTTTTTTGTAACTGCTCTGCTGAATTAATGCAAAAGGTTAGAGTGAGAAAACGTATACTTGCCTCATTTCAATTTATTGCACCAATTTAGCGTGCAGTTACAAAGAACAGAATCTTTAAATTATATCGTGTAGAGATTTTCCTTGGTACCAACATTATTCCCTCCACTTTTCAGTAAACTGTCGCCTAACCCGCGGTGCGGGGGATCTGGGGGACGTAGCCCCTAGTCATGCGACTAGAGACAGACACATCGTCGATGTGACAAATTTCATAATCGGAGGTGAGGGGCCTAAACTAAATAATTACCCTTTGTTCGTATTATGCTACTTTCCTAGACAAATTTACAAAGGTAATTATTTACAATTCGGAATTCTAATTTTTTTGCGGCAATCTTGCTAAAAACAAAGAGAAGAAGGAGAGGAGTCATGGGCCGGTTTTAATTAATTGTTGTTGTTGGTTATGGTCTTGGAGCAAGTCTATTGACCAATATAGGTAATATGAAAAGAACGCCTCAAGCGTCCCCAAATAGCACACGATATCCCATGGACGTTCTGTGGATGTCCTTAGGACATCCTCAGGACATCTCAACGAGATTTGTGCTGTCTGGGATCTATCTCACTAAATTCTTCTATTAATAGTATTGAAAGATTACGAGTAGGAGCGCTGCGTGGTGGCGCCAGCAGCCGGGAGCGGTAGCGCCCTTCGACTATCGATTACGCGAGCAACCGATATCGATAGTATCGTGGAGAGCGCGCGCAAGTTTGATAGCACAAAAAGCGCAGGATCGGAAACGAGACCGATTCAGGAAACATCGAGAAGCTTCTAGAGATCCGGAAGAAGAAGCTAAAAACCGATTCGAGACGAGAGAAGGACTCTCTCACGGGCGCGGGGAAAACGAAAAGTCGATTGAGAGAGTCGTCGAAAAGTCGATTAAGAGTCGGAAGAGTCGTTAGAGAATAGTCGGTATTTCGGTATGAAGTCATAGCATAAGTCGCGAGAAACGCTTTATATATTTGTATAACAGAATAAACGCTTGGTGATTTGTCCAGAGACATTGGAATTATCTCCTTATTAATGTTCCCAGAAAGTCCTTAGACCGGCAGTTCGAATCGTTGAAGGTCGTCGGGACGGTTAGGGATATTTACAACGAAGAGAGGAAATCGGGTAGAAATTTAATAGAGAGAATTAGTTCTAGTTAAACTGAAGGAATTTATCTTTCAGTATGGAGGAAATGGACGATCTCTTCGTATGCTGTCTCGTTGTCACTAAACGCCATATCCACGATGGTGATTGGATCAGCCATACCAGCCTTGCGCAGTTTGATAATTAATAAATCTGAGGCCCTCTGGTTGCGCGGGTTTAAGAACAAATATTCTGCCGTCAGAGCTTGACTATATAACCATGGACTGCTAGCCGCTAACTTGTGTCTGCAGCAAAACGTCTGTCAACATTTGCAGCGCTGCCAGGACCAAACAACGGCTATTATGTAAACTATCACATATTTGTGATTTCTATTTCACCATGTGAAAGATATTTTGTGTGTGTTCGTGATCATAAATTGCAGTTATCATTAAAATATATGAAAAATATTCTTTAATCGTCAATAACAGACTTTTTATTTTTTCTTTAAATAAATTATTACATTAAAAAAACAGTTATACAACTTTGCTATAATATAAAAATGAACAATTTTTAAAGTAACAAGAAAAAAATCTGATTTGCAAGGAAAATATAAAAACACAAAATAACATATTTATATAATTTGATATCAAATTTGCATTTATTATATTACATAAGAATATATGATATTTATATAATATATTTATATAATAAGAGATATATAATAAAAGATATATAATATATCAATAAAAAAATATATATACAATATATATTAAGAATGTTTATAAAATATATATGTAATATTATAAAAAGAACGTTCAACATTTTTTAAAATATTATTTAAAATATCGTCATTTGAGGTAACTTGCCCTTATAGAAATATCATACTAAGAATAATTGATAATTACTTATTTTTAGTATTAAAAATACTGGATAATAAGTAATTATCAATGATTCTTAGTATGATATTTCTATAAGGGTGGGACATCGAGGTAACTTTGAACAATTTGCTTATAAAAACATGTGGCATCATTAAACGGACAGAGGTAGAACTTTCATATCAGCGATATAAAAGTTACTCCAAATGACGGTATATTATTGTCCTTGAAATAAAATAATTTTTGTCAATTTATGTCTGATATACTGACATTTTCATTAGCTCATTAATCTTCCCTCATAATTCATAACAATTTTAACATAATTTTCTATAATTAATTTTGTTATAATGTATTTGTGGTTTCCAAGAAAGTCTAATTATTTTTATTGCTTCTACTATACTATTAGGTCTTTCCAATACGTATGACGATGTGATACGCGGATATTAGAAGCGTTTACGTTGCTAACTCTGTTTTGCTCTACTGAGTTCCTTCTTTTGCCGTTGTTTGGTTCTGGCGGCGCTACAGATATTGACAGACGCTTAAGGCCATCACACACAAAATTACATAAACGCATATGCATAGCATAATATTGTATGGACCAATGAGCATCGAATATTAAGTATCAATCATCAATATGGCGACTTAATATTCAATCCTCATTGGTCTATATGATCTTATGCTATGCATATGCGTCTATGTAATTTTGTGTGTGATGGCCCTTAGAATCGCCGCTAGCGGTCCATGGTTATATAGTCTCAGAGGCGCCACACTCACAAAGAGGGTTATCAACAATTTGTTTATCGTATAAATGCTGTGCCACGCGTATATGAAATGATCTTAATCTTGAGATTGTTGTTAATGTATGTCTATCCAAATGTGCGTGTTGTACAAACCAGGATATGAGTTCCTCTTTAATTCGCGTGCGATGAAAATATTTAAAGCCTTTTTGTGTGGCAGAGTTTATAAAAAACTGAGTAACATCTGCAATTAACTGATTTTTTATTATTCGCCTTGCGATTGAAGTAAATATTACAGGCACGTGAGAATAAGAACAAACTGCCCAGATAGCATAGAGATGAACAGAAGTTCCTAGAGAATTCATTTTAAAGAATAGATATAGAATTAGAAAAATGAATACTTGAAGAATTCTTGAAGAATTAACCACAGTAAGTTCGTCTTGAAATATTCCTTAGGACTTCATTATAGCGAATACTTCGCAACTTAATTCCTAGAACACTTTGAGAATTCATGAAGAATTAGGGCTAAGGCAAAGAACGAGACGTAAGCGTCGTAATCGTAGACGTAAAGTAAGGGCTATCGCAAATTGACATAACTGCATATGCATAGCATAAGATCGTATGGACCAATGAGCATCGAATATTAAGCATCGAACACCAATATGGCGACTTAATACTCGATGCTCATTGGTACATACGGTCTTATGCTATGCATATGCAGTTATGTCAATTTGTGTGCGATAGCCCTAAGGTAGAGAAAAACGTAAGCGTAAAGCCCATTCTACAATTGCGTAAGCGTAGTCGTGAACGTAAGAGTCAACCAATCCGAATGTTTTATTCACTGATTGCTTTACTCTGATTGGTTGTCGTAATCACTTACAACCACTTATAACCACGTTGACACAATTGTAGAATGGGCTTAAGACTAAAGCCCATTCTACAATTGCGTAAGCGTAGTCGTGAACGTAAGAGTCAACCAATCCGAATGTTTTATTCACTGATTGCTTTACTCTGATTGGTTGTCGTAATCACTTACAACCACTTATAACCACGTTGACACAATTGTAGAATGGGCTTAAGACTAAAGCCCATTCTACAATTGCGTAAGCGTAGTCGTGAACGTAAGAGTCAACCAATCCGAATGTTTTATTCACTGATTGCTTTACTCTGATTGGTTGTCGTAATCACTTACAACCACTTATAACCACGTTGACACAATTGTAGAATGGGCTTAAGACTAAAGCCCATTCTACAATTGCGTAAGCGTAGTCGTGAACGTAAGAGTCAACCAATCCGAATGTTTTATTCACTGATTGCTTTACTCTGATTGGTTGTCGTAATCACTTACAACCACTTATAACCACGTTGACACAATTGTAGAATGGGCTTAAGACTAAAGCCCATTCTACAATTGCGTAAGCGTAGTCGTGAACGTAAGAGTCAACCAATCCGAATGTTTTATTTACTGATTGCTTTATTCTGATTGGTTGTCGTAATCACTTACAACCACTTATAACCACGTTGACACAATTGTAGAATGGGCTTAAGACTAAAGCCCATTCTAC